TGGAGAGGAGAAATCGTCTTGACTGATGGGTGATACTGAGCGCCCACCACCAAATGCACCCTCCTCGTCCTCAACTTCCTCTTCATTCTGATGAACAGGCTTAGTAGAAGGTTGTTGAACGCTGCTGCTCTTACGAAAGCCTGAGAGGTCATAGTCCTCTAGATGTGCAGGGAGGGATGTCTGCCTCCTGACTGGTACACCGTGCTGTTTTTCTGGTAACTTGGACATTTCCTATCAGCAGTGAGATATAAATCCGGCTAGGGGGAAGATAGGGGGTAGAAGGTTCCATGTGTTGCTGGCCTTTTTAACAGGATGTGAAATTTAAAATCTTTCCAGTTTACATCATTATTAGAATCAGAATCAGAAAGAGCTTTATTACCAAGTAGTATTTTACACGTACGAGGAATTTGCTTTGGTGACAAGGTGTTACACATAGACAAACATAAAATTGACAGAAATTAATGTAGAAATATATAAATATAAAATATAGAAACAGATGCAATGGGTGTGGGCATGGCAAAATGGCTCGCTAGCGCCCCGGGCAAAGTTTTACCTACATGTATGAAATTTCTGTTGTACGTTTATCATGTCCAGATGTACAAAAAAGCCTCTTGGAGCCATTGCCTAAACCCAACAGGAAGTCGTCCATTTTGGATTTAATGGTCATTTTTGGCGACAGTTTGTACTTTAACAAACTCCTCCTAGGGATTTAGTCCGATCGACTAAACCCATTGTCGATTAAAAGTTGTACAAACGGTTGCCAGTTGACCATTTTGCCCGTGGCGTCCTGTCGCAAAACTATGATTCGCCATGAAACAGGACGTTGTTATAACTTCAGAATACATGCTCACATCTGCACCAAATTTTACATGTATATTAAGAGTCCTGCCCTGAGCACATCCATATGCCAACATTCACTCAAAGTCATAGCGCCACCTGCTGGCAACAGGAAATGTTACATTTTATGCATCGATGGACTACTCCTAGCAGGTTGGCCGTGTCAACTTCAAATCTGTCCCAGAAAACCCTTAACACATTCATGGTGCCATGTTGTAAAACTTGTGAGTTTTTGTTTAATGGCTTGGTGCTGCCGTGGCGGCAAAGTTCCAAGCTGTTTTTATTGTAGAAAAGTGAAAAATGGTTCATTGATCATTAACTCTGACAGGACTCCAAAGATTGCAGCATCAGACTGAATAATGAAGCATAGCAAAATGTGAATTCTGGATGAAGGACAATCTACTAAAATAACAGAAAGATTATCAACTTACTGTGCCAGGTTTGGCTTGAATGTCTCCAATGCAGTGCTGTGCTGTTGAGAATTAGGATGCGGGGGAGATACAGCTCCTGTCACCACTTAAGAGAACAAGTTGGGGAGGATAAATTCTTCCCGCCACCACCACCAAGGATACAACATGATCACTAAAACACGCACACACAAATATATAAACATGCTCAGGCACACAGCAAATTGTCTGAAGGAGAATGCTGAAGAAAAAAAACAGCTGTTTTTATCATGATCATTTTTACATGACATAAAACCTGGTGTGTGTGTTGTGTGCTATGGCGTGAGTGTGAGTTTGAAACAGGATCCTTCTCACTTCTTGTGCAATAAAAGCATAACATGCAAGACTTGCAATGAATAGAAAGCTCGATAAATCCAAGTGTTTATAGTAAAATGCCATTGCTAATGGGCCAGAATATGGAGAAAGGGAGAGAGGGGGAATTGTGCTCCCACGGCAGGGAAACTGATATTTTCATGTGAGCAGACAAAGCCAACGTGTGATGAAAACATCAAATCAGTGGGAGGTAAAAAAGAGATAGAAAATGTCAACTGCATTTGTTGCCTAACGACGGATCCCCAATTGAAAACTTACTCTGCCACGCTACTTTCATGAGCAAAGCACATACACATTTGTGCACACACACAAACACACTTGTCATCTCTTGGGCCTTTGGGAGTGAAGCGTTGGCAGGGTCTGATGAGGTTGTTACGGGTAAGTGCAGGTGTCCAGCACTTTATTTCTCTCCCCTGTCCTTCTGTCTCAAATGTTGTGACAAATTCCTTTAAAAAGGTAAGAAGGGTCATAAAATCTTCTTACAAACACTTCAGACACACACACTCATCCCTCAGTGCACATCCAGCATGTGTGCAAGTGCAAAGACACACACGCAGTTCGCACACACACACACACACACTGAACACACATGGCCTGAGACCAAAACTAAAGTTGTCTGTCAGTGGTGTGGACAAGATTCGTTGCATGTGCATGCATCTGTGTGTGCCAGCGCAACACAGGTGCAGTCAGGGACACTGAGGAAGTAACAGGCCTCCTGCCCTTTGAACTTGATCTTGAAAGAAAGCTGTCTTCCCTTCCTGTCAAATAAGCTTAACTGCTATGCCTTCGAGCTCTAGTCAGCACAAACTGGTCTGGTGAAAACCGTGAGTCATTCATTTATTCACGAAAAGCATTCACACCAATTCAAAAGTTTTTATTACACACTTGTCTGAAAAAACTTCAGTGACAGCTATCATCAGCAGTGATTTATGTGGAAGCCGTTAAATGTTGATGCTTTATTTTTTAATCCATTTCATTTTCTTCAAAGTGGCTGACAGTCCTGATAACAAAGACAATTGCTAATTTGTTACCAACCTTTAAGAATTTCTTCCACTGGCAAACAGCTTCAGGAAGGATTGGTCCAATTTACATTATATCCTTCAGTGTGTCAAGTGGACTTTTGTGTGCATGTGTTTGTGTGTGCGTGTTTCCAGAACTCCAGAGATGCAGAATTGGTTCAAGGTTTGGACAGAATTTCTTGAGTCTCCGTAGTCTTGTGAAATGTATTCCTCTTCCTGTTCAGTTAATGATGTGGTCTAAATAGTTTAACACGGGGTCTGAAAGACCAAAAACATGGCACAGATGAGTTTTACATGAGGAGGAAAACTACTGTAGAGGTACAAGAGAGAAAATAAAAGAAGCTCCAAAGCAAAGTTTTCTTTAAGCTGCAAGCAGGTGAGAGGAAGGCAACTTTAGGTGACAACAAGCTGGCCTCAGAAAAGACACTTTGGATACTCTCTGTTCACACAGCAAGGATGAGAATCTCTCTCATAGGAGGTGCGGCGAGAGAGCAGGAAAAGGAGAGGGAGGAGGGTACTTTGAGAGGCCGTAAGTGGGCCTGAGTAGTCCCTTTATCAGCCCACTGATAGGAGACTTCTCTCTGTGTGTTGGAGCTGCTCAATGCTCTCCTTGTCTCTGCTTATCACTGCTAATTAAAACATTTGGATTCCTCTGAGCTGGCTCTGGAGGAGTGTGTGTCTGTCTGAGCATGTGTGTGGGAGACATGAGAGCAGAGAAGAGTCAGAGGAAGGAACTGCAGCAGCTTGGAAGACTACCTCTCCATCTAAGGACAGAGGAGCTCAACACGTACTCACCCTTACTTTCCACTCGCTCGTGAGCTTCACCTTTCTGCTTTGCCTTAATCTGCCTCCAAACACACTCAGACTCTCAGCCCTGAACATGCTGTATCTCCTCCTAATGGACAAGAAACACAAAAACACACACACACACACACACACACACACACACACACACACACACACACACACACACACACACACACACACACACACACCATGAGGACTGGACCTGTGCTACTTTCCCAAAATGAGCTTGTTCTGGGTGGGCTCATCTCTCTATTCTTTCTAATCCTCTCCATGACTAATGCTTCTGCTCTGACAAACACCGAGCTGGTGTCACTGCTTTTCTTTACATGCACAATACCACAAGCCCTCGGCCACAATCACTGCTGGGTGCTGCACTCTGCTCTCAGCTTAAAAATTGGTAACAGAAAACTGTAGAGAAATCAATCACACAGCAGTAAACTAACCAACACACATAAAAGAACCATGTGGTCTGATTATATCGAATCAGTTCAAATTGGGCGCAAAGGTGTGATATAATTCTTTTTGAAGCAGGGGCAGGGCTTTTGAGTGCTGATGCGGTTAGTGTGATGGATGTGTCTTCCCCAGGGGGGAGTTGATGTCTTATAGCTTTACTGTAAATGTTTACATTCCAACATGCACTGATGCTATCTGCTAATAGTCTCTGGAACAAGCCTGAAGAGTCCTCTGGGTGGGATTATTTGCAGTGTGTGTGTGTATCTGTGTGTGTGTGTGTGTGAGAGAGAGAGAGAGAGAGAGAGAGAGAGAGACCAGGTCAAAGGGAAGCCAATCTGTCTTTAAACAGAGGTATTAACTATGACCCCTCTCCTTCCTGAGTCCTGCCCTGTGTCTGCCGAGGGCCAACGCATTAACAGCAGTGAAACACTCGCTACTGCCTCATCTTGTTTTCAAAGTCAAACATTTAGCTGTTGTTATAATTGTTTCTGATAATAAAATCAGCAATTGGCAGAGCATGAATCGTTTTAGAGGGCGGCCTCTCCCAGTCTGGCTTTCGTGTGAGCTCTATTTCTTTTCATATTAACCAGCTGTCTCAGTGCCAGCAGCAGTTGTGTGTGTGAAGATGATACTGTTTAAATCAACAAGGCCCTTGAGAAAATGAATCCTGTTACAATGGGCGCATCGGAAATGCATATGTAATTGCTGCTCAGGAGCCCTGTGAGAATTCTTCCATCAATAGATCTGTATCTTAAAGGTGCAGCCAAGCATGGATTAGGTGAGCACTGTCATTCCTATGTTGCTCACTGTAGCTCAGCCCCACCCTCAACACATTCCTCCAAGCTGAGAAATCTGCAGCAACATAAAAGACAACAGGAAATGACCTTTCCACTGGCATTAATAAGTTTTAATGTTCTGTTCAGTTGTGGAAGCTGTTGCTTATGATTGTTTGAAGAGGCAGAGGATCGTGTTCTTCTGCACTACTGTCTGGCTCCTTTCATATTGACATACATGCAGTAATGCTTGATGGCTCAGTGAACTACCACCTGGAACAACACACAACTGCTGAGATATGGGAAGAAACACACGCAATCAGACAATAATGCAAGTTTTAAACAAACCCCAAGGTTAGCCAAATGTATTTGGAAATGAAAACAAAGGCAAACAGTAAAATTATTGCTCAAACTGTCTGTTGCAAACATCCTGGTTCAACTTGGACCTACCGCACTTGGGATTATTACAACATTTATATTCAAATGAAGTGGTTTAGATAACATGGCTAAAATGTTGGCTTGTTTGCTAACCTCTGTGATCATCTGACTGCTTGTGTGTCTTTCCCCAATTAGACAGTGTTGCAGCAATGTTGCTATGCTCTAAGATATCAGCAACAAATATGAAAATACCACCTAACTTGTAATACACTAGAAGGATCCACATGAATAAGTTAAGATAAGGGGAACTCCCTAAAATAAAACCTTTGCAATGTTCAACCAACTTATGGATGAGGTCCATAGTAATGAAAATCATCCTGCACAGTGTCACTCACATTTTCAAGAGCCTCATTAGTTCTTGATGGGAATATACATCAGTGTGACATCACAGACTGGGTGCAGGAAAAATAAATTTTGTGCAGTCACGGTAGACAGCAATAACTAAAGCAGCTATTCACCAGCACAATGTGAATAATCAGAGCACACAGAAAGTGGCATACCTGGGAGCCTCAATGCAACCGCATGACCTTTTCTGCATAGTCTTAGTCATCTAAGTCTTTAATAGCAAATACACGCTGTGTAAATGAAAATGATTAGACTTAATGGTGACTTACAGTCAGACAGTCAAAAGGAGGTGTGTGTTTCCCTCCCTCGCAGAAACCTGTTGTGTCAACCACTTAGGGTAGCTTGAAGTGGTGTTTTGATTTAAGAGATAAATGAGGTTTGGGCTAATGCCAGTGTGGCACAAGGTGATCCTCTCTGCCAAAACAGCTTGTTGTGCAAAAAGGGAATTTGACGTAGCTATTGAACATCACAATTCTTTGATGTCACAGCCTCTTTAATGTCATAACATAGTAATAATAATATTTGCCAGGCAGGGCACTACCTTCATCGTAGGCAAATACTCGCAAACATTTTGTACATGAGCACACAGTTTACCTTGTAGTGTCAAGGTGATATCGCTGAACGTGTTGCACAAATATCTTTTTCTTTTTTAAATATGTGGCCCTCTTTTATCTGTTTATCTGTGGTAATTAAGTCAGCAGCCTGCATGCTATGTTTATGCCACACAATTCTAGCAGCTAGTGCAGTTAACATTGGTAAGAACAACCAGTTTAGGATTAAGCCAAAGCACCAGTAAACTCACTTAGGAATTCTGTTTTTATTTTCCTATCAAGTGTGGCCATTGTGTATATACCTTTGGGATGAGGGTGTAGTCTTTTCAGTAAGGTATGATTAATGTGTGCTGTCTTGCGCAGCCCAGCTGGATGGTGCAACATCTCCATGGTCTATTGACCCTCTCTGACTCATGCAGCACACAGTAGAGAATAGGCCTACGCATGACTCTTTACACACTTAAAAAAACTATAAAAAAAAAAATCAACAATAAACATTCACCTTCTAATAATCATCTGTTTGAATCTGTGAAATTAGTCAGTTTTGTGTAATACGAAAATAAAAAGTAAACAAAAAAGTTTGTTGTCTGCATTACTTTGCATGGAACTAGGGTATTACATTTCCACACACACGCTTTTTAAAAAGCGTACAGTAAGTTACATGCCTGTGCCCAGCTGACTACTTCATAATCTGTTGCTTGAGTACTGTGTGGGGGGAACCCATACCGCGTACACACACAGACACTCTCCAAAAGATTTCTAAAGGTCCATAAACCTAATATAAAGAATGTGTTCTAACAGGTGTTATGTTGAGTTTCATGATCAATAAAGATGTCCCATAAATAAAATAAATACCTACTAAAAGTGTCAGAGTCTCGGTCATGCTACTGGCACGTCAGGATAAGTTACTTTCTCTCGTTGGGTTTGTATAAATTCAGGATTCCTTTCTGCTCTGTCTGGTCACTTAAAATGGACTGTTACTGGCAGTCATTAAGGAGGGGAAAAAGCAACATATGTAGATCATCCTGGGCTCTTGAGAAACCCAGTGAGGAGCCGTTGCTGTGAACTAAAAGTGAGTCACTATCTGAGTTAGCATACGGTATTTACATCAATACATTTTTGTTAATCATTTTTAAATAATGCTAAAAATGCAACTATATATTTTCAGACCCACTGGAATTATTTCACGTATTTGTATAAACTGAACAATTTAAAAGCATGCATTTTTGTTAAGTGCAGGATATCAATTAAATCTTAATATTCAGTTTTTAAAATTGAACCCTCCCCTGCATTGTTAATATTTTATTTGGAACCTACCCTTGACTTTAAAAAAAACCCTGCAATACCCTTGCTCAAAAAAAACTCCTTCCACCATTTAAAAAACAAACAAACAAAAAACTGAGGAATTTAAGATGGTGTAATCAAACCATAATATATTTATGAATTTTCCCAAACTAGCAAATTACAGGAAGAAAAAGTGATCTCCAAATTTATGGCAAACATCACTTGCTTTTTGTTATGACTAAGAATAAAGTAAAGTAAAGGAGACTTTTGATAACATTTAGTGTGATTAAACCATGAAACAGAGACAGAATTGTTGTCTTCTGCATACTGCAAAACATGCATTTATGACCCTCTTTGCACGCTATAACCATCATTTGCAATTATTTAATTCTCTTTTTTAATTAACCCCACAAGGGAATGCTGAAATATAAAATTGGGGTGATAAAAATATCTTTTTTTCTGCTCTCATATGTCAGAATGCTTCCCCCTCAGCATAACAAAGAAATACATGGCCATCTTGTTTTCTGAGCTCCCCTCCTGATAATCATTTGTGTACAGTCCATTATGTCTTTTAAAAAGATAGACAAAATATTAAATAAAAAAAGTAGAATATAAGACTATTTGAAAACTACCCAGCAGATCAGAGAAAAACGTCTGACCAAGTTAGCTGTATTTAGCCTTTAAATTATTATTTTGTAGCAAAACGCAAAATGATAACCAAACTCAAAGCTTTGTCTTAAATGCTACCGATTTCTTCAGATAGTGATCGGCTAATCTAATCAATCGACAGTCTCAAAGAGCTTTGTAATGCCTCTTATGCTCACACTGATCTGCCCCGGATTATAACTTTACAGAATATCTCTAAATGTACTGTAGCTAGTCATGGTGAGAGAGAGGTGTGCATTTTATGGACCCTAAATAGCAGGCCAACTTCTGATACTGTTTGTCTTTTCTTTTTTTTAAGTATGCCAAACTGGCTTCTAGTAAGACAAAAAAAACAAAAAAAACATTGCTTGAACTTATAGTATACAGTATACAGAATTGCAGCAAGCTGCTAACACCTTGAGATGGGAGAGACACTTCAAGTCATGTGTTCTCTGGAGTTCAGAGCATCCCTCTACACAACATGCTGTTCATGCTCCAGGGCTGGCAGTAGTAGTGCAGGTAGGGGTAGTACTGGTAGGCCTGGTACAGTGGTACAGTGGGGACGTGTGCTCCGTTCGCCTGGTGGTACTGCTTTTGATTGTCCCTCACCAACACTTTCACTGCTACCTTCTTATGTGAGCTGTAGGCCGCCAGCTCAGCCGCCACCTGACGCCGTTTGGTTTTATATCTCCGGTTTTGGAACCAGATTTTCACTTGGGTCTCTGTGAGTTTCAGAGCTTCTGCCAGATCGGCCCGTTCAGGGCCTGAAAGGTACCGCTGTGCGCTGAAGCGGCGCTCCAGCTCGTAGACCTGTGCGTGAGAGAAGGCCGCCCTGGAGCGCTTCTTAGTACCGGGCCTGCACTGCCGCTCGTCGGGTGAACAGCTGACCGTGTCCCCGCTGTGGTGACATCCCTCCTCCTCTGCCTCCTTCTCCTTCTCTTCGTCCCGCCCCACACAGTGTGGTTGCTGGTCTGCAGCGCCTAGGAAAGACAATATGTGTGATGAAAATAAGTGTGTTTTCTCTGTCGCCAGGAAAGCCTGCTAAAGCTGCTGACTGAGAGTCAATTTCAATAAGGTGCTGATGCTGGCCAGTATGACGTTGTCATCTTCTATCCCTTCCACAATGTCAGAAAGTGAAGGGACATGATGAAGTATGTAAGGCTTTTAGATCAGGACCTTCTGGTTTTTTCCAATTGTCCCACAGCCTGAATAGCTTTCTCAAACAACAAAGTCTAACAGGGCAAAAACCCCACCTTTAAAATTATCGAGCTATTAAATGATCTGTCGTGAATTAAAACATTTTTTATTTCAAAAAAATGAGACAAACACGCCATTTAGGCGAGACAAATTCACCCCATTCAGCAATCTTTAATCACGTGTCTCATTTCAAGATGCCACTTTGTGCAAATATAATCGAAATGCAGGAAACTGTCAACTTTTTTTCACATTTGTTGCAGTGTAAAACCACAGAGTCTTTATAATTCCTTACTGCAGACTAGAGAAAACCTGCTCACCTTCTCTGCGCTCAGTCTCCTCTCCTGTGGACTCCTCGCTGTAGGCATCAGATCGGTGGTGTCCAGCAGACAGACTGAGATCAGCAGGAAGTCTCTCCGGGTAATTGCGGTTCTCATACGCGTCTTGATGAGACAAATCAGAGACTCTCATACTACCATGCCCTGTGCAGATGTTACGCTTTGGTGCCCGGAGCTCCTCTGTACTCCTGGCACCGGGCTTCCCCCGGGACTCACGTCCGGTGAGGATGTCTTTGATGGAGAAGGACGAAAAACTTAATGTCATGATGAAAATAGGCGCACGGATATTTCCTCACTCTCGCATGCGATTTATTTGGAGGCATCAAGAGATCATCCACTCTACAGCAAAGTTTCTAACTGATTCGATCTTTTCACCGCTCCCTTTAATTGCTCTAATTTAATTGTGGTCCTGTCTGCTAATGAACAGCCTACATCAGGAGCTGTCACGTCTATTACAGTATTCTCAGCAGCAGTAGTAGAGGCTAAAGTTAACCGTTGATAGGCTGTTTTCTCTGCCTGGTCCCTCCTTCGCGCCGCCCAGCTCCATGCTGATGCTCTGCGCTGTAAAGTGAGGACGGAGGGACACTGATTTTGCAGACGAGGTGTTTCACCTTGGTATGGTGATTTTTATTAGCGAGACATTATTCCTAAATGTTAAAAGCTCCATATAACTAAATTTTGCTTTTCAAGCCCATGGAGACGCCGTTGAACATTTCAAATATACGGTAAATATTTGACATGATTTAGAGACTCAGAGTGGATGTTGTCAACTATCCTTGCAAAATAGAGCAGTTTCAGTCAATGTTGGGTTTCCCAGATATCGATTATGTGTGAACTGTAGTAAGAATATCTGATGCGTAAAGTTCGCTAACGTGCGTAAAAACTCCAGCTTTCGCGTGTGAGAATGTGGCTTCAAATCCTTTTACATTACTGCAGCCCACTATTGCGTATGAGGTGTAACTAGTATACAACTTTGTTTTTAACCACAATACTCTGACAGGACCATTCTGATTTGAAATTGCCAAATTTGCATCCATTATTTAATCTTGACACAGCGTATGATTGTGAATTTTAACAATTGTTCTGTTATTAAAAAAATACACGAAACACTTTTTAATCGTATAGCTCGAGTAGCCAGAGATTTTAGAGGCCACGGTCCCTTCAGCCACGATGTTTGTAAACAAAACCCACAACAGAAATGTCACTGAAAAAGTGAGACTGACCATAGAAAAAGTATTTTACTGTAAGGGGGGTCATCCTGCCTTGTTGCTCAATCAAGTGAGTAGCGCCACCGTGTGGCAATGATGCATGTTTTCCAAAGTTAAGATACCCCCACCCCCACACACACACACGCACATTACACAACCAGGAGACCTGCCCTTCGTTTAGGAGACGTGAAGACAGAAGCGGTGATCTGCCTCCTCTGTGGTGCTTTCTATTCTTCGTCTGACTAAACACATACGTCTCCCAGAGCGCAAACCAGCTCTAGGGTGTCCGGAAGGGAAACATGGAAGTTCTGGCACATTTACAACCAAGAGATGCCCTCTCCGCATTGACAAAATGTAATTTCAATTCAGCAAAACCGTGTGGGAAATAGCTTATTACTGAATAACATACTTGCTATAAAAAGTTGTGTTACTGTTGATAATCATTTCTGAATGAAGCAGCTTTTCCTTTATTCACTCATTCACTCACTCACTCACTCACGCACTCACGTACTCCCTTACCCTTACTTAGCAACATGCCTGCTTTATAATCTGCGTTCAAATACACTCATATTTTCCATCTCCCTTTTCCTTTGCCCGCTAAGCAGTTTCCTCCTGAACTTGCACGCGCACGCTGCCTCTGGATCAGTCGTCTTAACCAATTTAAACTGCATTTGCTTACTATTTGCTTTCATTCATTAAATCTCTACAGACATCAATTACTGAAAATATATTGTGTGGTAGAGTTATGGTCTGTTACGCACAAAATGTCTGAATAAGTCTGGGCTGCGTGATGCACCTACTGGCTTCCACAGTCAAGTCAAGTCAAGCCAGCTTTATTTATATTGCGCAAAACCACAAGTTTGTCTCGGGTCTGTGCAACATGCATGCGATCTATCCTTAGACCAGTCCAAATTCATTTAAATGTTTACCAAAAGCCTAATTAAAATTGCATGTTGTTTAACTTTACTCTATTATAATGTAATGATGTACAAGGGCCACCTTGTGGGAGAGCCTCAGCTCCATCTTCTCCGCGCACTTTTCCTTCTCTATATTTGGGCTCTGGTTCTTTTGCGAGCCCCTTGAGTGGTTGCCATTGCAGACTTTGTTTTGGGAAACTCCATGCCTAAAACGCAGCGATGAGCCGAGCTGCTATCTTTGGAAGCACAAGATAGCGATCTCAGCGCCTGTCAGAGCAGCCACGGCCAGGCCGCGTCCTCAGGCATCGCCGCCCTGTCGCCAGCTCTATTTACACTAGTGACTCTGCAGCACTTAAAGCCGACACCAGGTATGTTCCACCGGCAGTGCGGTAGCCAGGGGAAGTGGCCAGTGGGACTATCACAGGAGACAAACACTGTTTACGTTGCCACTCATCTCCATTAATAATTTCTGCGTATTCGACCATGCTTTAGGTGAAGGTGTTTGTCTGAAGTCAATCTCCAATCAACAGCGAGAGAGTGTGATTATGTGGTAAATGTTGGTTATTTTATAATTATGATGTAATATAGGCTAATCCTAAAAATTACTACTAATCCTTTTTATTTTATTTATTATTATCATTATTTGGATAGTAGCATATATGGAATGATGTATTTCTCTGTCACGCGTCAACGACGAGAAGCTTTTCCAGCAATATTTATCATCCAACCCTCTGTGAATTTACTCGCTCTGTGGGTCCCGACGATGCTGGCTGTCTGGTTAATGTCCATCTCCTAACCGGACATTAGCTCGCCTCTAAATTCTGTCTGTTTCTGGTTCTTCTCTCAGACCAAAGTCTACCACAAGCTTTCTCACAGGAAAAAAAAGGAAGAAGAAAAGTTCGTTTGGCTTGAGGAACTGTTTCAGACGATGAGAAACTGTTACCAAGTATATGGCTTGAGGAACAAACCCAGCTCAACATTACCTTATTTTAGTTTCCTTTCCAGACTCATATGAATTTTGAAATGCAAAAACACGCCAGAGACGTCCAAGTAGGCATGAAAACGCTGATTTTCACATAAATGTATATTATATTTGTTTAGGTCCCAAAGTTCCATGTGTTAAAAAACAACAAACGAGCTTACACACACACAAACACACACAGTAAATTAGAGTCAATTGTGTCATTATGTTGTTTATGTTTAATTTCATCATCAGTTTTATAGGATACCGTTTAATCACTTTGTTTAACTGTTAAAAGAAAAAAAAAACCATAATACTATATATGATTCCATTATCCAACAATTGTGGTCGATATTGACTCTTTTAATTCATTTCGGGATCGAATTAAAAAGACCTTGTTAGGCCAATATTTTATTAATTATGGGCTAAACATAGAAAGTTGCGTTTGTATGAAAATTTCCAAACAATTTCACTCATGTTGCACATATCATCTTTTTTCAACCAGAAAAGGCCACATTACGCATAGGCTCATCGGCAACATTCAGTCCCACGACCAAATATCCAGCAGTAGGTTTAATATGTTTTTTTTTTTTTTTTAACACTGTGGCTCAGAGACAAATGCGCATATACTATATGGTTTGGATCTCAGTCAATGAGTTAGGGTTTCCTCATAGGCCCTCATTGCTTTACAATCAACTGGCCTATTCTGTCTGTAATGTGTTACATAGTTTTAAATTGTGCTTTCATTGCATTGGCAGGTTGACATGCTTGAGTCCATTCAGCAATCCCAGAGAAACGTCTCCCAGCTGTGATTGTGCGTAAAGACCGCGCTACCATGCCCGGATGCCCTGCAGAGTTCCTTGGCAGGGCGTGACGACTGGTCCTTGGGGAGCCTGGCTTTGCGTCTGTGGACCGAGGTTTCCCAAATTCATGTTCATAAAAGCGTTAGCAGCGGTGTTGCTGGGCGGCAGAGCAGGTAAACTAGAATAAGTACAAGAGTAAGTGTTAGTATACACCGAGTTGTTGTAGCTGTAGGCTGGATAGCCGTTGTAGCTGTACGGGTTTGGAGCTCCGACTGTGTAAGAGGTGTTATAGTTCTGTGATCCAGTCAGACAAGGCCTCCCGTCCCGGACAAGCACCGGCACAGCCACCCTCCTGGGCGGCGGCGGCGGGTGGTGGTGATGGTGATGACCTGCCATCTCCAGAGTCTTGTCCTGCCGCTGCCTCTTGCATTTGTACCTCCTGTTCTGGAACCAGATCTTGACCTGGGTGGAGGTAAGTTTCAGTGAGCTTGCCAAGTGCTCTCTCTCTGGGGCGGACAGGTAACGCTGCTGCTTGAAGCGCCGTTCCAGCTCAAACACCTGAGCCTGGGAGAAGAGGACGCGGGGTTTCCTCCTGGTCCTCTGCTGCTTGGTGGCGGGCTTCTCCGAGTCTGGATCCTCACACTCACCCCGCAACGCACCGCAGCTCTCTGCATGGAGAAGAAACGTTTAACTGCACTTTAAAGCTAAAACAAGACCTGCAGTATTTTGAAATAAATATGACTAATATCAACACACCATGATATCGCAATCTCCTCACACTGACATTACCATGAATTCATTTATTTTAAAGTCTTAATTTTATTTAAATGTTGAAGCAAAAAGTTTCCCGTAGCAAATCACTTTGTTGCGGATTTTAATCCCTATATTTTCCTATATATTGCATTATTTCACCCCACAATATTGATCTTCAAATACTTCAATCTAGATTGGTAATTGCTTTACCAGACTTTACAAAAGGTGATTTCAAAGAGGACTTGAAAGAGTAAATTAGGAAGACATTTGATGAAGTAGTATTTGTCAGTTAATTTTTAAACTTTAATGAATCAATGTTCAAATCTTGGAAATTTCATGGTAAATGTATTTTAAATTAATATTTCTGCAGATTTTTTTTCACGATTAAATTTAAATTAATTTGTCTAAATCTAAGAAATTGTGAATCAGTCTTTAAAGGTTTGGTGTTTTCTGTACAATTCCGCTCAGCGACTCATATGTTGTTGTTTTTTTAAAACACCCAGATCAGTACAGATGTTAACAACACTTAAATGCCTGCCAGCTTTACGCACAGCAATTAAGTAGCTGGCGGCTAGTGAACAGTATAGAACAATACTCCTGTTATTGTGGGCGTCCATTGTGCAAGGTGTGGCAAGGTGCTGTGTCATTACAGAAAAAAAATTAAGTTATTAAACGACCATATATATATATATATATATATATATATATATATATATATATATATTTGCAAACATGCCTAGGAGCTATTCCCTCTGTGTGCATTTGCTCATG